TTCCACAAGGTTCAAATCTTGGTCTTTTCCCGTTTTTGCTCTTTATAAATGACATAAGTACATCTTTTAATGTTCACTTACTGTTGTATGTTGACGACCTGAAGTAATTCTGTAATATTCACACATATTTAAAGCTGGGTTATAATTGGGTATCTGTTAGTCAACTCAATCTAATAATAGTATCAATGATAATGATAAAACAATAACCAATATTTATTCTATTAACCCTAGCAACAATTTAATTTAAATTTAAAATTTTTCACAGTAAATGCTACTTCAATGTGATAAATTAACGTACATTTATATTTATATTTGTGGTTTATGAATCTGGTTTGATTTTTTATTTTGGACATCCAGATTTTTATACAAAAATCAAAATTCTATAACAACATTTTATTATTTAAATTATAAACTACAAAACCAAATGCTCTGAAATTTTGCAAACGTTTTAAAGTTATAAATGAGCATGGGAAAATGGTAATCAAAATGTATCCGTTTGTACTCTCCCAAACAGTTCATGACAACCCTTAAGATTTTCCTCGATATACATATTTTTGATGAAATCAGAGTTCAGTCGCTCTAAAAAATAGTTTATTTAATGCAGAATAAATGTTGTAGTCGGAATACTCGTGCTGCTTGTTGTATAGTCGCTGCGAAAGGATGTGAATGCAGGACTGGTTGTCCTCGAATACTACTGGTTTTTCGATGTTTATGTGAAGATCTTTAGCGAGACTCACCAGCAGCAAGAGTTCTGCTGCAGGTGTTACCAGTGCTACATACTCTGCTTCAGTAGATGACAGAGCAACGGTGGCTTGCTTCTTGGTTGCCCAATATACAGTGGCCCCAAAGACTTCTATCAGAAAACCACTTGTTGACTTTCTATCGCTCGCAACCCCAGCCCTACCCCCCACCTCATGTCCAATCGGAATCTACATAGCATAAGATAGCTGGACTCTCCTTTTTAGGGTAAAATAACCCATATTCTAGTGTGCCTTTAAGATACCTCAGGATTCTTTTTAGTCCAAACCAGTGATTCCTTTTCGGTTCGCTTTGAAAAAGACTGTAGACGTTTACAGCTGCACTGGTATCTGGCCTTGTGTTCAGCATTAAGATCATCAGGCTCCCTATGAGTTCTCGGAAGGGTGTTTCTGCTACACGTTCGTCTATTTCATCGTCGCTTTCTGGCTTTATCACCATGGGGATTTTCTGTGACTTGTAGTCGATGATCTTTTTGCTCTTCAAGAACTCAGGTGTCAATTTTGACCAGTGACTCCATTTCGTCTTTGAGTGCTTCATACCAATTTTATCCATCAGGTCTTCATTTTATTTCTTTGTACGTAAGTGGTACGTCGTTCACATATGCACCTAAGTGCTTATTCACAATGGGCCTAAAGCATAATGATCTCCTGAGCATAATGCTTAGGACATCCTTATGCTTTATACCCATTGTGAATGAGCACTTATGCTCATTGTGAACGAATACAAGCATAGAGCACTAAACATAAATTTTTATGCATTAATGCTTAGAACATCCTTATGCTTTATGCCCATTGTGAATGAGCACTAAGGCAATCCTGGAAATGTCGTAATCTTGAAGGTATTTAGGTGCAACGTGTTGTGTATTACTACGGCGATATTAATTTTTTTCAATTTCTTCAAGCAGTTCTTCAATCATTTCTTCAGTTTTGGGCTCTTCTTGACTTGTGTCTTCTTCTTCAGGCCCTTCTTGACTTCTGTCTTCTTCTTCAAGCTGGACATCGGTTGTGTAAAAATCTGATTCATCTGCAGTGAACTTGGTTTCATCAAAAATAATGTCCCGTTCAAACACAATTTTTTTCTTTTATGGACACCAAAGGCGATAACCATTTGTGCAGTAACCAACCATGAAATAGATTTTGGTTCTAGAATCAAGCTTCCATTTAATTACTTGATTTGGCATGCGAAGATAAGTTACACAAGCAAATACTTTTAGCTTGCTCAGATTTGGTTTCCGGCCATACCATAACTCAGCAGGTACTTGAGTTTTCAGGACTGAAGTGGCAGATCTATTTATGAGATATACTGCCGTAAGAATGGCTTCCGTCCACAGATGCTTTCCCACTTTTTCACCAAACAGCATGCATCTGGCCTTCTCCATTAGAGGGTTCGGTTCATTCTTTCCGCAACTCCATTCTGTTGTGGGGTGTACCTGATTGTTAGTTCATATTAGATGCTTCTGCTCTTAAAGTATTTAATCATCCCCTTAGAACAGCCATTATGACATCGAAATCTACCGATCCGTCTTTCAAGATCTACTTCAGGGGCCTAACTAAATTTAGGTAAAAATTTTTACCCACAATCACATTATAGTTGGAGTTTTATCCACACTTATGAAGCATATAAAGTACCACTTTATCCACTAGTGGAATAATGAAATTACTTTATTCCACTAGTGGAATTGTGGCGGCACAATAATACGTAGTAGTAAGCGAAGAAAGATAAGCTCCTCCGTAGTCTAGTGGTGAGGGCACCCGCCCGGCAAGCGGTAAACGTGCGGTTCGATTCTCACCGGAGAAGCAACATTTTTCTTCGCTTACCTACAGAATAATGAAAAATACAATCTTAAATCATAGTTATTTATTTATTTATTTATTTATTTTTTGTTAATATTAACATTAATATTTATATTAATATAGGTACATTTCCTTTTTCGTTTCATTGTTTCCATTAATAACAAGCTTGTAGTTTTCATCAGTTTCAGAACGCATAGTGCTTGTCGAAGTTTTTGATAAATCTGTAGAAACAATGGATCTTGTAAGGAACGACTAGTACCAGGAGTACATTGGATCTTCCTTGCGATATCAAGCTTATTAGATATAGAATAATCAATATAACTTTCTGCTACAGCGGAGCTTGTCTACCCACCATGCCGTTTTATTGTTGTCAGGTCAGCACCTTTATTAGCCAGTAAAGTGCGCCTCATGCAATGACCGCTATAAGCTTCTGGGTTTGCCAAATTCAAAAATAAAGCAACTCTTGAAGCACCTGTTTCGACAAAGTGTTGATTCCAACAGGTTGTGAAGTACATTTTTAATTAGTGTATCGTAAGAAGAATTTGTCGTTGGATAACTTCTTCGGACGTAAGGACATGTATTTTCTACACGTCTCCACAGAACTGATAGAGAATCCTTCTTCTATAATTGTTAATTTTCGTGAAATGCCGGTCTTGGTATCTGGTATCGAAATAAACAGATATGCGCCCCTGTCTTCTACATCACTGATTTTCAAATTTGTCAGTTCACAGCAACAACAGGCAACAGACCCCCATTATTAGTGCAATGTAAAATATTTCAAGGTTTATTGTCTACAATGTCTAAAAGGTTAAGAGATATTACCTTAATCATCAAATATTTTTTATCGCAAGCCCTAGTCAAAAATTCTTCCACGTGTGCTCTTTCCAATACCGCAGCTTTCTTCGCCTTGTACCCTCTCGACTCACTCTTCAGATAGGCAGTGAGCTTACTATATTTTCCAATATCTATGTTTTTATTGACGTTTATAGAGGCCTTTAGCACCGAGTACTTCGACCATATTGATGAAATTGCATATTTCCACTTCAAATTTAAGAAATACGGTAGCAGAACTTCCCCATTTATTGTCATTACCCCTCGTTTTGCTTTCCATTCATTAAATTCGGAAAATACTTTTTCATACTGTTCCCTGGACTTCGCAGGCAATAATTGAAGAGGTGCTTCTTCAGCTTCCTGAAGGATTATCTCGGGAACAAAATTGCTTTCTTGCATTTTTCACCAACTTCACAAATTTTCTCAAATGGAATCGATAGACAATAGAATCTACATAGCAACCATTCAACACCTCCCAATTTTTTAAAATTAATTTCAATAATTTTTGACGTTGCAGCCGCTATCACAGCAAAATGTCAAATAATTTTTTGATGAAATCTGATTCTAAATGATCGTGATTGTGGATAAAACGTTGTAGTGCGTTCGTGTATTAACCGAGAAATACTAAATTAATAGTCCCTTTTGTACCTTACAAATTTTTTGTTGTTCTTGCAAAGGACTGTTTTAATACCAAAACTTTAAATGAGGTAGCCATCAGCTAAAATTTAAAAAAGCCAAAGGACATGCAAGTTCTGCTTAAAAATGTGGAAACAATGCTCCCAATTTATATTCCTTTGCATTCTTTAAACCGTACTTTTTATACATTTGTTGTATTTAAATAGTTCAGATTTTAAACAACTATAGGTACTTAGTGGCGTGCGAACATAGTCAGTGGTGTTTGAGTAGTGTCTGTTGTAAAGTAAAATTGATAATGTATGCGTAGTATTGCGTAGTTCCCCACCGCATATTTCAGTATACGCAAGTACAGTAAGTTTGACGCACCGGTTTGGAGACCTGAAAAATTTTCAGAATACCAATGAACAAAAAACCAAATAAATCTCGTTGTTATTAGGTTATTACATACCACGGCAGACCGAAGCGCGAAGAGCCGAGGTCGCTATAGCGCGAGATTAATAAAAACCTGTATCGAGGAAAAATTGAAAACGTTATTTAGCTGAAAATTTGGTGTTCACTAGACGTCCGTTTGCGGTGACATCTGTTTATGTTTAGTTTAATATATATATAACATTTGCTTCAAAATATGGGGCAGTGAAATAAATTGCACTTCCGTTGAATTCCGAAAAACTGCCAACAAAGTAGCTGTAAATCGATATATGCATACCTACACAAAAGCAAGACAACGTGAACGTTTAGTACTTAAATTTCCGGTTATGTGTACAGGTGGTTGCCTATTACTACTAGCACTTTTAGTTCAAATTACTCGGTAGCGATTTAAAATCAAATTATCCAAAAATAAGAGACCAGAAAGTTGTTACTTCCACCTACATTAAAAACTAAACGTAGCAGTAGCTCATTTCCAAACAGTCATACTTTGGAAAAACACACATAATAAATGCTCGCGGATAAACAAGTTTATACGTGACGCAGGCGTATTACATTAACATTAGTTGCATCCCGGAGCACAGACACTTTTGTCTTCATCTCCCCTGCATGGCTCCATTCTGGCTGCAGCAATTTTGGTCTGTGTACAAAAACAAAGTGTGTTCGTAATTCGTCGATCGCATTTTAGTCTTTTCATGAATTTGTTAAAACATCCAATTGTGTTAAATTTTATTATTATTAAGAAACATAACAATGGGACTTTTAATAAGGTAAAATTTTATTATTTGTTGAAGTGTTAATACTATAAAATTTTGTGTTACCAATTTTTAGCGTCGCCTCTATGGAAAAAGAAGCAAATCCTGTAAGTATATAAGAATATTTACATTTACATAATTCTTGTTTAAACATTTTTTGAATGATTTAAGAAATTTTATTAATAACTACTTTTATAGTGCAACATTAAGTTAAGTCGCAAATATGTCACTATATTGTCTTAAATACATGTACATTCATAATTCCCAAGAGTTCACGGGATACGCGTTTTAATTGGGTTCTGATCTCCGTTTTAGATTTGGTGTTTTGTGGTTTCGCGACGAGCTGGGTTGTGATTGCGAGGCAGTGAACCTGAATAATAAGCGCCTCCAAGTTGGAATTCATAATTCAAAAAGGAAAAATGCACGTGTTTATTATGAAAATAATATGAAATTCGTCGAGGGGTTTCAGTCGAGCTATTTATAATGAGTGCATTACTTTTAAAAATACATAAGCCGGTTGATAAAGCGTAAGATATTCAGCGAAAACTCGCCAAAGATCAGACTCCCTCAGGGCAAAATCGCCATCGATCCAACCAGCATCACAAAGCTGCAATAACAACCCGGAGAATCGTTTTTTTTTTTAATATTGTGATAACCCAAACTTCCCGCCTCAAAATTTGACCTTGAAACAGTTTGAAAGGCCCGCGAAAAATTCAAAAATTCAAAGTTTGGCCTTGGCTATGATCGTCTAACAAATAGGAACCTACGTTGTGTTTTTTTTTTTTGTTTTTGAAAAATGGCGGGAAGACGTTCTTTCATACAAGTGCATACACTGTCGAGAGCGCAAGAAATAATAGACAAAAATTGGTTTGGAGGGGGAGAAACGGCACCACCCTCACAGGGGGAAAGACGCTGCGAAGAATTACCCCTCAGCGTAAAAACCCCCTTTGGTTTTATTCCCGGACGACATATTATTACATTTCAAACACCTTAAGATATGTGAAAGAAAAACACTCGCGAATTGACAGACATACACACACGAAAAACGAACAAACGGAAATTCTATACATCTGTTTGGAATCAATGCAAATATTGGAATATCACAAGTTTAATAAAACAAAGCAAAAACCGAATCAAGTAACTGGATGCAAGTACACAAGTTATTACAGGCGTGTGGCGGCCGATCTCCTTTTCCTTTTTTTTTTTTTTTTTTTACGGCAGTTAACAGGAGCACAAGAAAAGTACCCCTGGAGCGTTGTAGCATAAGCGGAGTCTGAGCTACCGGTCTGGAACTGTTCTCCCCCCGCGACGGTGATTCTATCTATCGCAAAGCCTACCCCACACGCATATCCCATGACGAACTTTGCCCTGCGGAACTAGGCCATTACGGTCGTCCAACCCGCAAAGATCTCGACTATTGGGCCAAATCGAGAAATTCACAACGTCGGCGGCCGCCCCCTGAATCTATCCAAACCTGTGGACTTGTACAGGTGGCGCGATAAATCTCGCCAGCTCGACTAGGAACCAAACCTCGCTTCTGCCACGTTTTCTGTGTCATTTAACCTCAATTCCATTTTAAAACATTCAATCTCTTATAACTCTGATGTTAACAACAACTGAACAAGTGTTAAAGTTTCAAAGAGCAATAAACAACATTTAAATTCGCCATACAGTCTTGTGAAATCTTAAACAACAAATAATTCTTATGTGGGATTAAAGTTGGACATCAAATAATTTAGATGATAGAAAACATTCATCAACAAAGTATTTACAAAACAAAACTTAGCAAGGATTTATGAGACGAAAGATCTGGTGTGAAATAAACTTGTACAAATAGAAATGTTATGTGAGGTTAGAACTGTAGAACATGAAATTTACGTTCAATTAAATTTATACAACAAATAAAATTACTGAGGTTAAAATTGTGAGATTAAAGAAATATTGTATGATGTGAAAATTTGCAGAGTTAACAAAATTTACATGAGATTAATTTTTGCCACACTTTATCAACGGTTCAAACAAAGAGTTTACATTATGCCAAATTATATCATGATCTAAATGATTGGTTACTTCAAAAATAATTTACTTTGAGAAGTTAAAATACTACGAACTGGTTACCCCAACAAAACACATAAACAAACAAACACAAAAATATCCAATCATCGCTCCGAGGGAAAAAACGTCTCGGTGATGTAAATATCCAAAATCGTTGTGAGGAAAAAGCGTCTCGGTAATGTAAATTTTCTGTAGCGTTGGGGGCATGCCTTAATTAATTAATCAATCTGGCGTTGCGAAACATGCCCCGATGAATTAATCGTGATAACGATGATAACCACCTAAGGGGAGAAAATATCATAACCCCCCCGCCAGTCCGCAGTATAATGAACTTGTTTAACTGCCGTAAATGAACTATTAGCAATCTTGTGTGAAGAATTTAGAAGTGTTATAATGTAACACTTACGTATATGCATCCAGAGACCTATTCGTAATTAAACACAAGGTGTTTTTCCTGACTAAGTGAATTTCATGAAATCTTCTAGCAAATGGTTAATTTAAATAATCCTGATTGTTAAATTGTGTTTGCACTAGCTGACTATTAAGAAAAACTAGCTTGATTGGTGAATTTACAAACAAAGAAACAGATTCACAACACGTGTTCGCGTCCGACCGGAAGTCTGCAATTTTCGATTAAAAGGGCGCAAGAATTTACCGCGCGGGTTGGGGACAACTGTATCATTATGAAAAATACGTTTGATCGTCATTAAACAAAGGCTTCCTCCCGTTTTATTAACTACCAAACCAACTAATTTAAACCTAGCGCTTACCACGTGGTTACACTTACACGAAACACACCAGAATGACACATTCTACCGCCATACCGCTTTTCTACCAACCCTCTAACTGAAATTACCCTAGCGCTACGTGCTGCCATCTAACCCAAAGATCATGCAACTAACTCCTAAGCGCTACGTGCATTAGACCATCCATGCATATTTGGTTGCCTATGTTTAAGGATTTCCTTTTTGTGATTGAACTCTTTTTTTTTCAAATTAAAATTATTCAAATGTGATTTCGCGCCGTTGTCAATTAATTTCAGCGCGAAAAGTTTGATTTAAATTCGGTCACCACAATATTTAGAAAATTTATAAGTGTACGTTTTAAAAAGATTCACAGAAATATTATGTGATTTTTCAACACAATTAATACAGGTATATATAATATATATAAGAAATATATTAAATATTTGATTTAAGGGATGCCAATGTTTTTAGAGTTTCACAAATTTCTATCCTTTACGAAAAAAAGAAGGGAGTCATTCAGATGCAGAACTTTTTTGTTAACAGTCTTCAAGATATGTACTGAAAATAAAATTAAGGTGCTGTTTTTAACAGGGAGTTGGACTTTTATGTTTTAATTTTAGATCATTTTATCGATTAATTATTTACTGATGTTTCCAGTTCAGTTCGCTTCTTTCTCAAGAGTGTTGTGATAACCCAAAATCCCGCCTTAAATTGACACTTGAAAGTTTGAAAGGCCCTCGAAACATTCAAAAAATAAAAATTTGGTCTTGGTTGGGATCATCTGACAGAATCCTACGTTGTGTTTTTGAAAAATGGCGGGATGCCTTCAGATACAAATGGTGAACCTCAAGGTTGGAAAAGTACTAATAAATAAAACACAAAATTTATGGACAACACAAAATTATTTATTTCTCCATTGACAAAAAAAAGCTGCGATTAAGTTGCGCAGATTGAAGACCTTCTTAGTGCTCAGCTCCAAAAAAGACCTTTGAATGAATTTTAAATGAAATCAAATTAAACGTTCTGAATCAATGAAAATATTTGAATATCATAAATTTAATAAAAACAAATCAAAATCTGAAGCAAATTAACTGGATGCAAATATACAAGTTTAAAATTATGGCAGCCAATAAGAGCACAATAAAAATACCCACAGCATTCTAGCACAAGCGGAGTTTGGGGCTACCGGTCGTGGCTGTTCTCCCCCACGACGGTGAGCCTGCCGCAAAGCAATTCTCTATTACTGACAAGCCGTACGTGCAGGCCGTTACGGTCGCAAACTCGCAGATGGGTCATCTCGACCGCCCCTGAATTCTATTCTAACCTGCATCTTTTGTGCAGGTGGCGCGATAAATCTCGCCAGCTCGACTAGGAACCGCGCACTCCACTTCTACCACGCATTTCGGTGTTATTTACCTCAATTCCATTTTAAATGTTCAATTTCTATAACTCTGATATTAACAACAACTGAAGAAGTGTTAAAGTTTCAAAAAGAGCAATAAACAACATTTTAAATTCGCGATACAATCTTGGGAAATTTTAAACAACAAATAATTCTTATTTGAGATTAAAGAAAATATTTACATAAAAAAAAACTAGCAAAAATTTATGAAAACAAAAGATCTGGTGTGAAATAAAATTGTGCAAATAAAAATATTACGTGAGGTTAAAACTATAGAGCATGGAAATTTACGTTCAATTAAAATTATACAACAAAGAAAATTACTGGGGTAAAAATTGTGAGGTAACGAAATATTGTCTGAGGTGAAAAATTGCAAAGCTAACAAATTTACATGAAATTAATATTTGCCACACTTTATCGACGATTCAAACATAGAATTTACATTATGTTAAATTATGTCTTGATCCAAGTGATTTGTTATTTAAAACAATTAGTTCTGAGAGTTTATAATATCGTGAACTGCTTACCCCAAACAAAACACATGATAAATAAACACAAAAATATCCAGTCAACGTTGCGAGGATCGCTGATGATCTCGGTGATGTAATTTTTAGCGTTGCGAGGAAATGCCTCGGTGATGTAATCAATCTTTAGCGTTGCGAGGAAATGCTTCGGTGATGTAATTAATCTTTAACGTTGCGAGGAAATGCCTCGGCGATGATAACGATGATAACTGCTTAAGAGAAGAATCATTTGAACCCCCCGCTAGTTCACGATATGATCAATTTTGTTAATTTACCTACCGTAAATGAACTATTAGCAATCTTGTGTGGAGAATTAAGAAGTGTTATAATGTAACACTTACGTATTAGCATCCAGAAACTTATTTATAATTAGACAAACAAAATCAAACGAGTCTTGGCTAAGTGAATTTCATGAAAACTTCTAGCAAATGGCTGTTACATTGTGTTAGAACCAGTTAACGATTAAAATCCTAACATGAACTGTGAATTTACAAACAATGAATTAAATTTACACGGGTTGGCGTCGTTCAAAGATTCGTCTTTTCGGATTAGAAAGCCGCAAGAATTAGCTGCGCGTGTTGGGGAAAACTGTGACGTCATCGTTACGATTAATTTTCGTTAAACAGAGGCTTCCTCCCTTTTATTAACTACCAAACCAATTAATTTAACCTAGCTAACTTACAGCGTCTTTTCACCATGCTCACCCAGAAGAAACCAAAACAATAATGACGCTTTCACCATGCTCTCGCCATGCCGTCATCTTGTCTACTAAACCACCCTCTAACTAAAGTTTTAAGCAGACTACTAACTACCCCCAAGCGCTAACGTGCGCATGGTTGCCATGTTTAACGATTTGTTTGATTTAATTTTTTTCAAATTCAAATTATTCAAATGTGATTTCGCACCGCTGTGAATTTAATTTTGATACCAAAATTACACGTGTTGATGTATTAGTCACAGTTTCAGGTTAGAAAATCATTAATAACCTGATATTACACTAATTAGACTCGTTGACAAGGACTTTGGCGTCGAATGATATTCGTTTCACCAACAGGACGAAACAATTAGTGGCGTTGATATAATTTTAAAAATTACCTGCCCTGTTTTATAAATCTCTTAGAAGTACTAACCTAAAGAGTGACTTTCTGCCAATCTCCCTAACACCTTAACTATGCATGGTTGACTCTTATGTTATTGAATTATTTTATTTCATTTAACGGATGATCTTTTTTTCCAGCGCGAAATTTAATTTTTCAAATCGGGACACCACAGCTGCAAAATTTGAAATATCTAAATTAACCAACACTTTAGTTTTATCCGATAGTACACCCATGCAAGTGATGATTTAGAGCTAGTGGTGAAACCAGTTTACGTATTATTGAAATACAGAAGTGAGATTTCCAATACCTAATAGTCCCTTTCAGGTTTAAACTAAATAGGTATGCCTAATAAAATCCTTAGTACTTTTAAAACATTTAATATGTATTATCAAAATTCTTATGAACTACGCTCCAAAACCCACGCTTTTCATATTAGTATTTTCTAATTCTGATTTTAAATAACAGGCATTTACACACAACCTCTAAGGTAAACGTACCAATAAGTGACAGCTCTGTGACTCTTTTTAGACTAAAGTCATTTAAAATTCCTGATCAAAACATTTTGATATGTGAATAGACGAAACATCAGTCTTGATTCGATTTTGATAACTTCTAATAGACAATTGACAACGCCTACTCGTAATAGAAATCTAAGTTTCAGTTTTTGAAATTATTAATTATTTGGTTCAATACGTGACACGGCTTTTTGAACATAATCCTTAGGTGTGCTTTTAAGAGTACCAATACCTGACACTGTCTAAATTTCCTAAATATGATTAAAATATTTATTCGAAAGGACTATATAAAAATAATTCTAGTTTGATCCATATAAATATTCATTTCAAGCTTAAATTAACAACCTCTTAAGTTAACTTGCATTGGTTATGGACACAACTTGTTCCACTGAATACCATATCATGTTTTCTTGTGCTGGCTATCTAAACTTTGGGAAGATTAACTTTTTTTATTAGGTTTGGATAGTACAGGGTTTCTATAAATGATTATAGGGTCGAAGTAGGTCATGAAAACGTGCCGCCTCTCAGTTTTGGACTTTATTAAATGCCCAAGGATGCCCGGCAAATACCACACGCCTAAATGTTTCATATCTCATTTAAAAAAAAAACTAATTCATTGTTGAAAATGTTCACCATTTTGTTCAAGGCACATGTTCACTCTCTTTTTAATTTCAAAATATGTTTGTAATCTTTTCGTCAATGCCCATTGTTCAATTTCATGTTGCAACAGGAACTCCTGACTGCTGAGGAAATCTTGTCAAATATGTTTGCGGTTTCTGCTCAAGTAGCAGTGTTGAGTATTGTATTTCTATTATATACATTGCAATATTTGTCCTATATTTTTCTTTTATGGTTTGATACAAATATTCAGGAAAAAAAGTTTTGTTTTAGCAATAAACACATTTTTTTTAGGAAACGTTACGTCAAGATGTACTAAATGAAGACCAGCCAATGGTAGACTGTGATGAGTGCAGAGAAAAACGGAAGTTACAGGCTCAACAACAAGTAATTAATCAACAACCTACTAAATCGCAAGACGAGTGTTATGATTGTGTCGACTCTCTTTGCTGGGCAGCATGGATGTCTTCCAACACTGATCCCCAGCCCCATAATAGTTCATGTCTGTGTGGAAACTGTGGAGACTGTTCTTGTTGTGACTGTGGTGATTGTTGTGATTGCGATTGTAACTGTGCAGACGATTGCTGTGACTGTTGTGATTGTGATTGTGGTGACTGTGGTGATTGTGCTTGTAGTGACTGTGGCGACTGCGATAGTTGTGACTGTTTTTAAAATGTTAACTAGGAGAAAATAAAATAAACTGAATCATTGATCAAATTGTATGCAATGTTTGCGTCCCGGTATACTCAAATTGTTCTAGTTAGCTTGTAATTAAAGTAACAGAGTCTGTATACAAAGAAATGAGTGTCTTCGAAGGTGTCGAGTGTGTTAATGACGTAACTGATCTTGATATTGATCAATAAGACAATAAAAAATATAGTTGAACGTATATATTTAGATATAAAATATATAGTTATCTATTTACTCTTTCCGTTTGTATACCCCAATTTGTTATAATAAATTGTTGTAATAGTTATTTGTGCAAACCTTCCTAAAGAAGCCAGACAGCCATCTCTTTAAAATATCTAATAATGCTCTTGAAAACTAATTTTTACTTCAAATATGAACTTTTTTTCTACGCTCATTTCGCTTTCTCCGGTGGAGTCATTAGAAATTGTGAAATAATTCAACTTTTTTTATGATCTATGTTGTTTTCTGTTATGTATCTGAGGAATTTGTGTGCTGGTGTTTTACAGGGATTTGTTATGGGAGTCTTGCTTTTTAATACTTTCGTTCATGATATTATTTCTAATCTAACGGTGTCTAAAATATGCAGATAACGTACGAATCTACGAGCGAAAATTGATAAAGAGTTGGCTGGTGCAATAAAAATGGACTTTATTTGAATAAGGATATACAGGTATGATATGTAGTAACAAAATATAGAGAAACAGGTCAGAACTGAAAGTGTTCATAAAGTGGTGTCTATTCTATTCTTTTATTATCCAAACTACTCAAAATATTATAGTTCTTCATTCAAGAAAAACTGAGTGGAATGAACTTGCTGTTCATATGACAAAAGTTAATAGCTCCATCTTTAACCTCAGGTTAGCATGCGAAATTCTAAATTCTGGCCTATAAAGAAAGAACCGAAAGTATATCAAGACCTGCTACAAATTGATAAAACCTCATACGATAAATTAATGGCTGCTGCTGATTTGTTTGCTGGATAGAATTACCTACTGCTCGAAGTTTGAAGGCTTGGAAGCAAATGATAGAAATATAATATTGAACTCAGCAGTTATACATCAGAACATTTTAAATGTATAAACTGTATTCGTCTATACGAAAAAAACAACAGCTCAATTGATACTAATCATGCAGTATGCAGACTCCGGGTCATAACACAAACATGTATTCGAGACTATGGTCGTGCAAAAACAATGTAGTTCTCAATAGTATACATAAACATCGCCTCTCTCCTAGCAAAGCTTGACTCTGAGCCTCTATAATATGTATATTTGGTTTTCTCCAGATATCCCCAATTCCTTGATCGTTTTAATGAATATAACCACTCTGGTGTGTGGCGATCGAACTATGTCAATTTCATTCTAGAGCACAACAAAAATACCCATACGTTGTAGCACGAGCGGAGTTTGGGGCTCCTGGTCGTGGCTGTTCTCCTACCCACAACGGTGATTCTATCTATCCTGCCGCACAGCAATTCTCTATTACGGACATGCCATACAACCAGGCAGTTACGATCGTAAACCCGCAGTTGGGTCCCGACTATCACGAAGCCGACAGCCTCACGTCATCTTGTCCGCCCCTGCTTCTATACAAAGCCTACATCCTTTGTGCAGAAGGCGCGATAAATCCCGGCAGCTCAACTAGGAACCGCGCCCTCCGCTTCTGCCACGTATTTCGGTGTTATTTAACCTAAATTCCATTTTAAATGTTCAATTTTTATGACTCTGATATTAAACTACAACTAAACAAGTGTCAAAGTTTCAAAAAGAGCAATAAACAACATTGCCAATTTTGATGGGCGCACGCGGAGGAATGAATTATTACCACTTGATATTTTGGTAATTGCAGTCGTCAGGGTGAACCCAGATGTACCGGTGCATCTTCGATATATTACATATGATAACAAAGTGGGGCAAGCGAAATTGAATTAGAATAGTGGAAAGTTCGGGTTGCAATGGGGTCGGTTAATAAGTTAAAATTTGGGCTTTGAATTAGGACATGAACCATCGTTGTCCTTATTTCTCTTTGATTCTACATTTACACAGATAGGAGTATTCTGTTTTAAATTCAGATTGGTTACCGATGTCAAACCATGAGCAACAGTCTTTTGAACTATCTGCAGAACTTTTTACTTGGTCAAAACTAAAGCCTACTTGAATTTTCTTGAGCAATGACCCTCGATAATATGATCGGCACTCGCGGCCGTTACCTATGATCGAATACTGCGCGGGTGATTTAGAAAGAATGTTGAATTCTTATCATTGTTACTGATTTTCTGTCGCTGATCCGGCTCGAAGGACCATGTTAAATCTTTGCGAGCAGCGAATAGTCCTTTACGATTTTTATTTAACAAATAACAAGTGTAAGTTTTCGGACTGTTAGGTCCACAAATGAATATAGTGTGAGTGATGTTGAGCTCTTGAAGTGTGAATGAAGAATGATGAATGAATAATCTTAGATACGCTGTGCTCCAAAGGGAAGATGGCTCAGACTCCCACCCTTACGGGTAGGGAGGGACGAAAAATGTTCCCCGCCAGAGGCACTATCAATAAGAAAGCTTATGATTCAGTCCCTTTTTCGTGGCTATGCAAAATTCTGGAATTATACAAAGGTGATACTAAAATTTGTGCGTTTTTTAAATATTCAATGGAATTTTGGAAAACCACCCTCCAAATAACCTTAAATGATCAAACACTTAATCAAATCCAATAATGATCAGAAGAAGAATCTTTCTTTCTGACATCTTGAACAGCTGCAATTACAGTTTCAACATAAGAATTAACACCAAAGTAGAAAGTAGGTTAAGTCACTTGCTCTTGCTATTATATGGATGACATAAAAATATACGCAAGTAGGAAAAATCAATTGACAAATGTAATAAATCGAACAGAACAGTTTTCCGGTGTCGTTTGAATGAGAAATGTAAGACTTAAGCAAACAGAAAAGGCGTTCAGCAACAAATACCATACATAACCCAAAATAACGAAATAATGGAAGCCCAAGAATGAAACGAAACATTTGAGAGAATTTCATTACCAAGACAACGGATGAAGGAGATTCCATAACTTAGAAAATTTATACAAGAGACAAGTTTCGGAATTGAAGAAATATGTCTTGAGACGCGCAGAAAGAATAAACAATTATTTCGCGCCATAGCAAGGGAACATTTGAACCACACACCCTTTAACCTATCGAATACCGAAGAAATCCCCACACCCCACAATCTAGACAATATATTAAGTGGTTTGAAACAAAAACAAATTTTGTTAATCTTAATTACTTAACACACATGTCCAAATCTGCATATAGTACCATTCAAAGAGACAATCAGAATCGATCACCAATACCCAAACGTAAGAACAAAATTCGCACATTCGCAAGTTTCAAATATCATTGCGCTTATCAGACCTTGCGAACAACATGCGCAGAATTGTACACCCCAGAAATTTCATTAAAATTCGCACCCAAACTAAAACAGTAGCGGGCAAAACCTATACGCGGAAAAAACAGATCAAAGAATGCCGACTTTACTAACAGAGAAGCAGAAAGCTGACGCAACGAAGCGATAACATGGGAACCATGATGAAAATTGAAAAAAACGAAAAATTTACGACACAAAGCTCCCGTAAATCCGTCAGAGACGAAATCCTATTCAAACCAAACTAAACCTTATAAAACAGCAAAAAAGACCTAAAGTCGCGTTCCGGGTAACCTATCACTTAAGTAGTTTTATGGCTTGCTAACGTCGCGGGAGACAAAAGAAATGGACAAAAATCTATATAAAAGTAGTAGCCCAGAAAACGACTTTCATTCATTTCGAGGTGCCATGGACCACGCTGTCCGTTTGCTGACCGATTTTTCTATTTTTGGCTGAATTTTGAAGAAATCCGAAATTTACTGAGACCTAAAAGAAGTTAAAAAAAATTCCATGCTGCATCTATATTAAGTAAGTTTCTCGAATTTTAAATGTATAATTTTTAACAAATACATAGATATATACATACAGTCTGAAGTTTTGGCAACAATTAATTAAATCAGCCTATTTACAAGTTATTTACAATAAGCAATAGCAAATAATGATATTTAATGTGAAGGAATCGTCACCACAAAATACATTTATTTTCTGGGTTCATATTACTTCCAATCGGACAATTAAATGCATGAGAGAACTCTTCCATGTTCGACAAACTTCCAATCACTCTGTATTCCTTGGGTGGATAACCATTTGGTGTGGAAACTAACACGTTCAACGCATAATTAGATTCAAGACCACACCACATCTGAAACCAAGAGAGTTACATAAAACTTGAAAATTTAAAGCGATGTTTCAACCAACCGTTGCGTAACCGATGAAAAATAATTGATCTAAAGTATAATTTCCAGTTGTTTGAATTTCTTGTTGGTCAGTTAATCTTTTGAAAGCTTTGTAAGCTTGTCGTACGCCACCATTATCAGCTAAATTTTCATTGAGGGAGTAGGAGCCGTTGATCTAAAATTGTGTTATACATACTGAACGTTCCAAATTTTAGAAACTTACATAAGTTTGTATTTCCGACACATAATACTGACTATACTGATCTTTAAAACAAGTAGTTGCTTGGTTGAAAGCATCCACTGTTTCTTGTGTCCACCATGATTCTAGTATTCCATTTTCGTCGTAATTTTTGCCATTCGCGTCAAATCCATGACTAATTTCGTGGCCAATTATACTGCCAAGGCGACTGTAATCCAAAGTAGTTTTATCGCCGTAAAAGAAAACAGGGTTTAACATTGAAATAGGTATAACTGGAAATATCAAAATAATTAAACAAGATACAGAATGTTTAGAAATTTCAGTACCCATTTTGTTATTGGGTCTGTTGTAGTATGCATTAGCGTCAAATGTGGATTTTCCCCAGCTAAAACATTTTCCTTAAACAATTTCCTAAAACTAGTATGGTACATACAACTGTCGATTTGGTTTCAGTTGCATAAATTGATATGCCTGTTTAAAAGCACGTATGACTCGAGCATTTCCGTAGTTGTCCCACTGACATACTCTAAAGTTTTCGTAAAATGCGTCCAGACCAGTTGTGTCTTCGACAAAGTCGGGATAACCCAAAAGAACTAATAAGTTTTTAATTTTCTGTAAAGCTGAAGAACGTGACTCAGTATCCATCCACTCAGAAGCTTCTAAAGTGTCTTCAAAAGTATTTACAATACGTTGTACAAGCTCAGCGGCCTGAAAGTGTAAATAAATATAATCACATAAAAAAGTAGAATAACTTTTACCTGTTTAATTTTATTTATATTGTAGTGATATTTCTGATACGAATAAGTTACAGCATAACTTAAGCTCGCAGTATCAACAACGTCCAAAATTTTTCTAGCACAGTATTTTGGTCTCGAAAAAAGTTGATATCCTTTAGCTGTGTAATAATCCTCAAATGCTTTCCGTGTGATGCTATCGCTGTCTGGGGCTTGGAAAAGGAAAATTCTCAACAAAGCAAAATTCTTCACTATTTTAGGATCAGTTTGTTTAACAAGATTTAAAGTTCCGTAAATTGATTTAGCATTTGGTTGATAGATTTGTGTGTCATCTGTGATTTCAACACCCGACATTTTAAATATTGTGTTAAGATAGTCGATCCAGTTAATCTAAAATGACAACTTAAACAAAATCAATTAAAAGAGCAATGTCATACTATGTCTTCTCCTGCAAATTGTAAATCTGTCCAGTCTTGAAGTTTTTTTACAGTCACAGGTGAACTTAAAGGTAAAACATCGTCATCGATAATCTGAAGCAAAAAATTTTGTTATGGTTATTATGACCGGTTCAGATCTATTTATGCCACAAATTTTTGTTCTTACCCCTCCAGCATAGAGCTGTCTCATAAAAGTAGCCATGTCGTCTAGATCAGAGAGCATTTCTGCTTCAGTTTTTGTAGCATTGCTGTGTTCTAAAAGTTTCTTTGCTAAAGTTTGCAAAAACACATCGAAGGGAGCGGGACTCGTTGATCTAGTAACTCGACGCTTTGCTTCTTCTTGAAAAGTTTGTTCTAACACAGCATCATAACTTTTGTTAAATTGTGGTCTTAATAAACTGGGATTCGACAACGGATCCGTACTTATAGCAATTGCACTTTCATTTTGACTGATTTGACCCACAGTGTACGTAAAAATTAATGGTATTCCATATTGCCCTACCAAGTCTCCAATTTCGTTCCAAGAAAATTTTGCTGTTTCGTTAGAAGGAGACAATAAAGGCATCCCTCCAACTTCTTGGACTGTGCGCATTTCAGGTGCATAAGGCTTAGTGTAGGAGTCAACATTAACACAGGCCCTGTATGCAGTTTTTGCCTTCTTGACCGCTATTGGATCGTCTTTGAGTATGCTGGACGATAGAATATCTGGAATGATTTATAAACTTAGAAGGATAAATGTAGGGATTAATATTTTGTTATTTTACCTTGGCCTATTTGAATCAAGTCATCTTCTAAAAGGCTGAAGTGGTCGAGGATGTTGGTAGTTGATGATGGTGAATACACATGTTTAAAGTTTCCGCATGCGAAGTCATAAAAATTATCACAAGGGTCCACTGAATCATCTAAATATTTCAATTCAGGAATATCTAGAAGTGATTAAATTTATTATTAAACGATTATTTCTAATGACAACAAAGTGGAAGGGTAGGTCTTACCATTTTCGCTAAAGTATTCTACTGAACTAGAAGTGCAAAATAAAGACACGGTTAGAACTAATTTTAATATTATAGTTAGTGGATTCATAGTAGCGCACTATGTTTATAACCTTCGTATGTGTAGTTGAAATAATTGTTATTGAGGTAGTTGTAATGATACGTGGTTGAATCAGCTAAATCACTTCTCAAGATAAGATAAAGTATAAGATTATGATAATCTGACCACTTTAGTCATATTTTTTTTGTTGAACTTAAATAAAAATTATAGATGCTAGCAAACCGAATAAGATAAAGTTCAGACAAAACACTAAATGGTCGGATTTGCAAAAGATACATTAAATACATATTTAAATAATTAAAAATTAAGCGTTTATTTGGCGTCATCAAAATGGGATTAAACACAAAATTAAAATTCAATTTTGCTTTAAATTAATTCTTCAGTTTTGGGATGTTTTATTTATCTGGTAAGTATATCGTTTGCATCATCATCGGAGGAAGAAAATATTGTATAAAGATTCCTCAGGAGCGAATTGAGTCATTTTTAAAATAATAGGAAAGATTACACAGGCTACTTCTAAGAAGTATGAAAACGTCATTTGATTCATATATTCAGTTTTTTTTTTGGACTCTGCAAGCAACGGCAAAACCCAAAACTGTATGACTAATACTCCCACTTCAACGCATATTTTTTAATAAATACGTAGTCAATAATGTTTTGACATGTGATAGTTTTTTTTGCAGAAGATAAATAAATCGTTAATCCTCTTCAATCACTAAAACAATGCTACTTAGTGTGTTATCAAAAATTTCAACAAGTCTAATTTTCCAGATCAATTTTGAAATGTAATTCTGCAGATTTGTTTGATGAGTTCTATATGCTAACATAAAAGTAAAGAAAAAGTGAAATTTTACAACGACGTCATTAAAACTTCAAAACATCTTAGTTCTGACACGTACATTGGTACAATGTTACATATTTATATGTGATTCGTTGTACTGGTAGTTTCTGGGCGAAATAATTTTGGGTTTTTTGGCTTCCCGTCTTCATATCCGAGGGACTGAACATTCTGACCTGTTTTTCAAAAATATAGCGCTTGATACTTTTATCTGATTTGGTTTTTTGTTCTTCCAACTTGAATCGCTGCCCGAATTTCTGCTAAATTTTGAAGAAAGCTGAACTTAGAAATATTTGATAACTTCCAAAGGAAGCTGGATTACTTTGCCATAAAATATAGCTCTTTTGTCATGCGAATTTAATGCTGCCATCGTACTTTAAAGCATGATGGTACCATTTTATCAACTTTTACCTTCGCCAAAAAGCTCTATCTATTTAATTAATACTTAATTAATCAATTAATGTAATACTTAATTGCTGACCTCTCTTTTCGAATGTTTTAATTTTACAATTAGCGTAGGAATTAGCTAAAGTCAAGTAAATGTTTATTTTTGCGTAACGTTTTTATCATATTTATGCATGTTTTGCTTACGTAAAGATTACCCCTATGTTTTAATTTATTCTTTTGCTTGGTACACATTTAATCATTTTGCATTAATCATGTTTGTAGTTTATTAGATTTCAATATATAAGTATTTTAGAAACATTTAATTATTACCTTCTCCCATATGCAGTTTAGCCCTCCATTTCCAAGGAAATAGACCTACGCCCAAATAAGTAATTTTGTTAGTGTCCAAATCTTTGGCCACGGTCAATAAACAATTTGTGTACCACATTGTTTAGTGATACTTTCTCTGAACAATGTGTTATTTATGTGTATTGCTGGCTGCTCCTTTATGGGGGCAGCTTACTGTTGATGGTAGTTAGTTAAGTAAAATCGAAAATTTCTACAACAAAAATATATTGTGATAATCCATACATCTTACCAAACCCGTGCATAACCGCCAAAAATTTAATACCTTAGTTTAACCTTGAACTGTGATCCCAACAAAATAGAACCCCACGTTCGACGAAGATATAGGTCTCCCATTTCCGTCTGCCTGTCCGTCTGTCCGTCTGTCTGCCGTCCCGGATTTTTATTAGACAGATAATCTCCGAAAGTACTGGACCGATTGTTGTGAAATTTTGTACTTATATTAGGAATATCATGTAGATGGTAAAACGCTAACCAAAATTTGTCTAATTATCGCCACCACTAATGCGATAACGTCACTTCAAAATTGTACATAGTAAATTGGTCTTAAATTGTATAAAATAACATAGTCCTACACATGTAGTTTATGACACAGAATTGAGTTTTTACCCAAAACGTCCAGATTTTTGGAAAAGAAAATCAAAATTATGAAACAACATTTTGCAATTTAATTTTGAATCTGCAGAACCGAATACTTTGAAATCTTGCAGATGGTTTACAGTTATGATAAGCATGATAAATTTTTAATCAAAATATATTTACTTATCCCCTCCAAAAATTTGATGACGTCAGCTACAAGTTTGCCGAATAAATCCTACCTAAAATGTACAAAATATGATGAGTTTGTACTTGCGATTTATCAATACAATCATATTTTTTGGATTTGCAGATACAGGGTGACTAAAAAAAATTAATGAATGTGTGAAATTATTTTATTAATTTAATCAAGAAGTACAAAACTGAATGCTTTGAAATCTTGGAGATATTTTAAAGTTATCATAGGCATGATAAATTTTTAGTCAAAATGTATTTGTTCGTCCTCTCCTAAAACATTGATGTCACCTCAAAATTTTACTGAATAAATCCTATCTTAAATGTGCAAAATATGATGAGTCTGTAGTTGTGATTTATCATTCCATTCATATTTTTTGGATTTGCGTATACCGGGTGACCCAAAAAAATTAATGAATGCATGAATTTATTTTACTAATTTAATCAAGAACTACAAAACCGAATGCTTTGAAATCTAATGCGAAAAAAAACATAATAGCCATGCAGTCGTCACGTTTCCGACAGCGAGGGAAGTACTGTCTAAACTCTTTAGACCAATTTTTTTAATGACGGAATGCAACCTTAAATTAATTTATGGCTTAACTTCAGAGAAATTGAAGGAAAGGCTCCTTGAAAATAATAATAATTTCATAAAATTAAAGGAAAACGATCTTTACTACTTAAATTTTAATTCACAAATTCAAATATAAGAAAATCCCGGTCGCATCATAACCCTAAATTTTCTACAAGATGACCTGGTGGTTTAATTTGGTCTGTTCTGGATTTTCGAACAATTCTAGTTTGAGTCTGGGGCAATCACATTAATGTAGATTCCGCTCCTATAATTATTACTCTATAATCCTGGTAAGGGCGCGCCTTCTTTGCTGTTCAGTGCGAACATGTAAATGAATTGGATTGGAGAATACCCATCCAGAGGGATTTCATCAAACACACTTGCCGATATTGCATCATTCACAGGTCGTATTATTATCATTTCGTTGTTAACTTGAAGTCGTGCATAATACTACCGGCCTCTCTCATAATTAAATATGATAATACCCCTTATAGAATATTTTACTGTTACGATAATGTTTGTTTCAAGTGCAGACAGTCTGGCCATCTTGCGAGTGAATGTGAAAAAGCTAGCAATTCGTACGAAACAACTGAGTTATCTGTTAATTTTCCTTCGGGAATGAGGCCGGGTGACGGAAACCACCCTGTTTCAGATGTATCAGTTGAAGATAATCTTACGACTTCTTCTTCTATTAATAGTGAACCTACTGCTTCCGGTAGTAAGAGGCAGGTGACTTCCTCAAGTGACAATTCTCCTGATGTTATGGAGGGTCCGTTGGATTTTTCGCAGAAGAGTTTAGGTGAAGATAGACAACCTAAAAAGTTACGGTCAAGCGATTCACTTGAGAGTCTTACACCTATACCAGAACTTTTAGCTCCTGCAAAGGAATTAATCGAGGATTCAGGTTCACCGTTCCCTTTGAATTTTGACAATATTGCTGAGATTATGCAAAATATTTTCGAAGCTACAGATCCGATAGAATATGTTCAACGTTTTACCAATGATGTGGAAGGAGTCATTCAGATGTTGTATGAAATCTATCCCACGTTAACCAAGAAAAGTATAAAAAATCGATGCCTTAAAGTACAACGAAAGCTTAAAAAAGCTCACTCTCTTTATTTGGAACTGACAAATGCAACCTCACCCCCTAGTAATATATCACATTCAACAGCATAAATAATATTAACACTCCCATGTTCATGACCAACTCGATAGCTTATACCAATCTGGCGTCGTTAGTAGCAAAATATGATCATCTGGTTGCTGTTGTTCGTGATGTTCAGCCTTCATTTCTACTTGTATCTGAAACCTGGCTAGACCCAGATATCCCTGATGCATTGATCTTATTAGACGGATTTCATATCTTTAGACAAGATAGCATCGGTCGGAGAGGTGGTGGTGTCTGTGTATATGTTGCTGATCACATTTTGTCTAAGTATTCCGTAAGTATTATTAACTATAACACTGAAAATATTGAATCTCTTTTCTTACAAGTTACGGATAAAACTTTAACATTCGTTTTAGGATGTATTTATAGACCCCCCTCCTCAGTATTGAATGACGACAAATTGCTTTTTCAAACATTGTCGGAGCTAGCAAGCAATAACAATAAGGTATTTATCTTTGGTGATTTCAATCTGCCGGATGTTAAGTGGCCTTTAGAGATGTCCCATAACTATAGTGGATCTTCGCAATTGTTGGTTGATTTGTTACTTTCCCATCACTTAATACAATTAGTAGATCAACCTACCAGGTATCGAGCCGGTCAGCAACCTTCAACTCTAGATCTCATTATTACATCTGACGATGATTTACTAGCTAATTTAGAGTATCTTGATCCAGTTGGTAACTCTGACCATGTAGTTCTCAAGGTCAATATGCAGATTTGTACCTTTCGTAGAGAAAGAACGGTTTCATTTTTGAGAACTGTTACAGACTATAAATTTGTTAACGAAGACCTCAAAAAATTAGATTGGTTCACTTTACTCTCTGGCCAATCAATTGAACAAAACTGGCAGGTGTTTAAAAATGTACTTCGAAGCACGGTTTCGAAACATTCCGCTGTTATCACGGTAAAAAGATCCTCAACCAAACCATGGATAACTGCAAAGATTTTAAAACTTGTGAGGACTAAACGAGCTTTATGG